TATGACTGACTGGCGGCCATTTTGATCCTCAAATTTGGTTCTGATACTTAAATAAGTCTGAAACTGTTTTGTGGAGACGAAGTGACGATTTCACTCAAACTTTGTATCATGATCAAGAATATAGGGTCACAGGGGCAAGTTTTTTCAAGATTTGAACAAAGATAGCCAACTGACAATCATTCGTTTTTTTAATGATATTCATGCATGTATGAGTAACTATAATCACTACAATTCATCAGTATTTGCACTTCCAGTCACACTGCATTCAAATTAACATGCACATATGATGTAAGAAACTCTCTGATACACATGTATATTTACAAACTGAACACAGAGATATATTAACAGATATAGTAATAGTAAAAACAAGATGGAGATTGTGCATTATCAATTTGTTTTTTCCCAAAGCCCTGCAGCAAATGAAACGAAATGATGACAATTTGGTTCGAAATTAACAAAGAAATTGTAAAAAACAACATACCCCTGGTAATCATAATTTTACGTCACAATTTTGAAGGGGAAAAATTACAGTGTGGGAAGAAGTAGGATTTGGAAACATTCCAGAAGACAACAATTTAATCTAATTTAAATAAAATTGATCTATTAGTTAACTGTGAATGGATGAACTCAAATGGTAAAGTTCAATTACTACACACACTACTAAATGGGTGAATACAGAATATAGGCGTAGGTGTATTCAATTGTTGACTTTAGTACTGCAGTAGTTTTCTTTTAATAAACATACAGAATGGTAAGTAGAAGGCATCCTGCCTACGCAAGTGTCAAATGAGTCTATTTTGTTCCATCCATTCTGCGAGAGTAAAATCAACATGCATCATCAAGTCTGTATGGAGAATGAACCTTTTTAATAAATTTTATTTTTTTAGTGAAAGCTAGAAAGTCCCATTTCTATTTTTACAATTATATTTTGTTTTTAGTGAGACAACTTCTTGCTTCATACTGAAACGTATTTACTCACTGATGAATGACGACATGTAAATATCAATTTAAAACATCCATGTTTTTCTGTGATTTTGTTTTTAGTGAGACAACTTCTTGCTTCATACTGAAACGTATTTACTCACTAATGAATGATGACATGTAAATATCAATTTAAAACATCCATGTTTTTCTGTGATTTTGTTTTGAATTTTGTATAAATAGTACATATTTTTTGATGGGCAACAGGTCGAGATCAATTTTTTGAAGTGGTTTAATTTGAGAATGAGGACAAAATTTGACTCTTGTATTTGTTGTAATTTTAATATTCTACGATACTGTATCAAAATTCTAAACCATTGCATTATAAATACCGATTACATTACGCTATGTTTATAAAGTGAATGATTGTTTATCATTCCACATAATGGAAGGAAACTTTAAAGCTGAGAAAATGCATCTTCATGAATGCAAGCACTTCTATAAAGGAGAATACAGTGCATTTCAGTTGATTAGAACGTTGATTCATTCACAAAGCCAAGTAGAAAGACGTTGTTCGGTTAAATAGATTACATTATAACTAATTCAGCACAATCAATAGAAACCCACAAACTTGACAGTTAACTGTAATGAAACTAGAGTGACTCACTCTGGGTTACCATGGCAACAAAAAAGATGATGGAGCTCATGA